AATGATGGTGTAGATTTTAATCTTAATTTAATATTCACCATAAACACACCACCGATACGGAAATGATAACCAAAGTCGATTTTTATGACATTGAAAAGTAATTAATGCATATTTTACTGTTTTGAATTTTAAGTGAGATTGAGTGCATTTGTAAATGTAACACTGATATTATTATTTAAAAAATCAATTTCCTACATTTCTTTTAAAACAACAACACGACAACAACAACAACAACAACAACAACAACAACAACAACAACAACAACAACAACAACAACAACAACAACAACAGCAGCAGCAGCAGCAGCAGCAGCAGGAGCAACAACAACAACAACAACAGCAGCAACATCAGCAACAACAACAACAACAGCAGCAGCAGGAAATTAATAATCATACTGTTTGTAGAAATGATAACACTGTTGGCGGTTATGATAATATTGTTCATCGTAAAAATACTTTTGGCAATAATGATAATATTGTATACCATTGGAAGATAATAATGCGTATGGTCGTTATTATACTACTATTGATCTTTATTATTATATTGTTTGCCATCGAAGATATAATCTTAATATTTACACTAAACAAGGACTCGAACGTGAAATTCCTTTCAATCAAAATGGAGAGTTGGTGACGAACAACCACACATATATAGGCAATACGACCTTATGTGATTTGTCGCTCACGTATCTCATTTTTACGTTTAAAGGCACACCATGCCTCAGAAACAAATATATTTTTTTACGTCTTAAGAAAGGGCGAACGTAAGCTTTATATAATGTTTGAATAATGGTTTATGAGCAATGAAAAAAGCAGCACCGAATGTGAAATTATGAAGTCATGAAAGTAGCAAAATGTTAACAAAGTAGTATTTTGACTTCTATTGAAAATACGAAATAACATTTCAAATGAAATGAAAACTAAATGACTATAATTGTACTAATTTTCAAAAAAGCAAGAGAAGCAAAAGAATATTCAGGTTAATGGCCAATGTGTAACTTTTTGGAACTTATATCAGGACACCAAATATAAAAAAAGCTGTTAAGAGATAGAAAAATTGAAGCATTTCTGGGGCATGATGGGCCTTTAACAATATGCATTATGTGAACAGACAAAGAGCTAGTTCCAACATTTTGTTTGATTTTTTTTTTCAATTTTGTTTTAGGACATAATAAGGAACATTATAAAGCAAATAATATCAAAATATTGATATTGATTGGTTATCGTATAGACCAGGATGTGGTTATAATAAAATATATTGTAATTATTTGCTAATCCGATCAATAATTGAATAGAGTCATGTCTTAACGCCTACCTAGAATGTATATATCAATATGTATAATTAAAAACGCTAATTTGAATTTGCTGTATTTTTCGACCTTCAAGTCTTCTTGAGCGGCATTTATTATACATAAAAATATATTAGGACCTTAATAAATGCCGCTGAAGAAGGTCGGAATGTCGAATTCAAATTATATACGGCAAATTAGAGACTTTACCCCCCCCCAAGCAGTAGATAAATAAATAAATAAATAAATAAATAAATAAGATAAAATATATAATGGATATAGAATAAGTTTTAAGAATTAACAACACTAGTTGTAATTAAATTATTCTGGAACGGTCGGTTTTTCGTGATACTAATTTCTGATTATATGAGATGTAAAATGGAGTTTTGGAATGGTCAGTGTTGTATTACAAAACTGTCTCTCAAGTTATTTAATATAGAGGTTTCTATTTTTTCTAAAAGAGACAGATGTTTCACTTACATTTAAACAAACGTTTTGAAGTGACCATGTGTGAATACCTGTCATTGAGATATAACTAATGTCTCATTTAAAGAGTCCCCACCTAAATAAATGAAAGTATGTCAGTAAATAAAAACATTCATAATGGTAAAGTAGTAAAAGTACCAGCAAAGCGGTGGTACATTTCATCAGCCCAACTGATATGAAAACACATAATTGCTTTTTTATTATCTAAATCGTTTAAAAGGGGAAGGAGTCATTAATGCGTAAGTAAAATAGCACAAATGTAGTCATTGTTTAAAACATTAACTTAATTACAAAGATATGGTTTTGTAGTGTTGAGATATTTTGTGTATTGATATATAGGTAACCTTTAGTGTACTAGCAATTATAGTGGCTCGTCTATGCTATAGGTAAGAACCAACCCTGCCAGCAAGCCAGCCAATCTACCAGCCAGACAGCCAACCAACCAATCTACCAGCCAGACAGCCAACCAACCAATCTACCAGCCAGCCATTCTTATAGCCAGGCAACCAATCAACCAGCCAGCCAGCAAATCAACCAGCCAGCCATGCAATCAACCAGTCAGCCAGCCATTCTTATAGCCAGACAGCCAATCAACCAGCCAGCCAAATAGCTAGTCAGCCATACAGCCAGCCAATTTATCAACCATCCAGCCAGTCAGTCAGTCAACCAGTTAGTCAGCCAACTTCAAATTATATATCAGGACAAGTCCGTGTCGTATATGTATATGAAATAACTGAGCAGTTAGATCTAGGCACAGTTATTCTTTGTTCGAATAGTAATTGTACGTTGGTAAATAAAACAAAAAAAAACAACACTTTTTTTGGAGAAGAAGAAAAAAACCCACCAACAACATCTTGGTTTTCTCTAGTTTCGTAGCCGTGACCTTATATTGTAGAAGTAGATTATTTTTTTATGAACACTTAAGTAATTTGTCACGCCGGGGGGCAATGTTAACATAAACGTCTGTGACATTGAGATATATCTTAGTGTTTTTTTCGCGTCCGTCACATTATGTTACTGATGTAATTTATTGTTTAGACCTGAATGAAAAAAAAATGTAACGCTTTCATAGTTTTAAGGCATGCCTTCCCTCAGTTTGCCGCGTCTTTATCAAAGCACAGGTTGACGGATCAAAGGTTTCTGACAAATATTATTTTAACATGATTCAAAACACTCTATATTGTAGCTTATTTAATTATTACACACGCATCTTGATCATTTATTATTAACAGCATCAATTTTCACGCAATGTGTGGTTCTTATTTTATTCATTTTTCTTTTTAATATTCAAATTAATCCTTTTTTTACATTTTTACAGTATAGCATAGCTTTAATAATGATAAAAACGTAAACAATGAGTTAAGGGGTTTTAAGCCTCCCAGCTCAACTAGTCAAAGTCATATGGCTATGTCGTTATTATGAAACCATACCAGCCTGCGTATCAATTGTACTGCGCGACGAGATATTGTGCTATTTTCGTGTCTGGGCAAGATTCTGCCCCAGAACGAAAATATCTCAGAATCAAGCTTTGGCACGTCAATATATTTTGACTAGCGTATCAAGTAGCAACTCATCTATGTGCTTTAATCAAGAAAAAGAAGAAGAACAAGGTAAAGAACAAGAAGAAAAAGAAAAACAAGAAAAAAAAAAGATGAGAAGAACAAGATTAATAAAAGCAGAAGAGTAGAAGAAGAAGAAGAAGAAGAAGAAGAAGAAGAAGAAGAAGAAGTAGAAGCAGATGGAGAAGAAAAGATGAAGAAAAAATAACAGGAAGAACAAAAGCGATAAGTATAATGAAATGAAGACGAAGAAAATTAAAGTAGGTGAAGAAGAACAAAAAGAAGAAAACAACAATATAATTAATAAAAAAACAACAATAATAAAAAACAACAACAACGGAGGTAAATGATCAACATTTCGTCCTTCAAAATTAACCTTTTAAGGGTATGACTAGTGACATGTGTGAGGTTCGAACTCGACAGCGAAAGCTGCATTTTGTGCCTGAACGGTCAGATATAGACCCTCATTACACACATGCGACAACATGAATTATACAATACAATGTATGTATGTACCTCTGGAATGAAACCACCTGTATCATAAATTACATGCTTAAATGTGAACTTGATAGATATATATATAGCGCAGTATTATCTGTATCGTAAAGTGCCCATTGGTGTGATTCGAAGCATGTTTTTTATTCGCGTGTTTTTCCGTGCTCCTACTGATGCCTGCATTGATCAAAGTATCGCGTTTATTGACAGATCAGCTTTGTCGACATTTAATGATGATGCCCAGTTGATAAATTACATAATTGAAATATATTACGTTTTACTGGTTACTACAAAATATAAAGCCGCACCCGACTGATATGTATGGTGAGTAGTATTGTACGACTGTTAAATGTCTTAACCGGAAGTTGTTTGCGAAAATTAATTTCAAAACTCTTCTCGGTGATTTCCGTCAAACTTCGGATAAGAGAGATGTTCCGATTGAGTCTGATTCCCCTCACATCCATAAATATTGGAAAACTTATATTGAAAAAATATCTACCATTTCGTAAGAAATAAAACCCATTTATAGCAATTGAAGAGAACGCGAAAACATAGATTTTCTTTTTAAATCAGTATTTTCTGACGTGTTAATTAAATCTCGAACATGTAGTTGAAGATTTTCGGGTTCAACTAACCACTCCCTACCCACCCCCTTCCCGCCAAAAAGGACAGAAAAAAAAGATAGTATTAATGCAACCAAGCAAGTAACCAAGCGAGCAAACTTAAGAACGAAAGAAAGAACGTACGAACGAACGAACGAAAGAGCGAACCAACCCCAATTATTTAAAAGCATTAAATATTGACAAAGGCTTTAGATCTACTAACTGCTAATGTTTGCCATAAATCATATAAGGAGTCGAACTCTTGACCTTCGAGTCCATGGATTTTCAAGTCCATGGGTCTAACAGAGAGTAAAACACTACACATTCAGCAGAAATTTGCAAAATCTGCAGAGTGTCACAGAATAAATGATCAAGTGCGCAAAGTATTTAGATACACAATAAACATGGAGACACAATACGAAATTACTGCTTTTAACAATATCACTAACAGAGCAGAAATACCATTATGTCCCGTTTAACACACCGTGGAATGTGTTTGTCTATTTGTTAATCCATAGACTAACAATTAAACAGTATAAACTACATATTTCCGTATTTATTTTAATAGTAATTCGTGCTGGCATATTGGTGATCGATAGTTTGAAATAGTTATAGAGCTAAATATATATAAATGCTAGGTCCGTTGTGGATTATTTAAATAACATGTCAGTTATTTCAATAACGCGTTACATATTGTGTTCTACAAGAGACGGATTTAGATAATAAACTTCTTAAATGGAATTACAGTTCTGTTGATTTGTCGTTCTTTTCATGTAAGTGACGTAAAAGATATAAACTATAAAAGGCGTGAAGGATAAAAAACAAAGTGGAATTTTACGCATGAATGGAATCTATCTGTAATATATTATCTATACGTTATGTATAAAGGACCTATAATGACATTCTTTACTAAACAGGCCATTTATTATTATAATAAATCTCGCCCTGTACTAAAGGGATTGTAGTTAGGTAGTCTCTCATTATAGGTGTCCACTCGAGCGTGCCACCTTCTATTCGCTTATTTAGAAAAGTTGATATATATTTCACCACTGTAAGATTTTGGCCGGTTTAATTTATCTGACATTTGGAAAATAAAGTCTACGACACCTGTCTTGGATTATAGCATTTTTATTCTTTCACGAGCATTGTCGGTCATTTTTGACAGATCGTAATCGATCATGTACTATTGAACTGTTGGAATAAACCGAATTTAAGTGTAGGTTCGCACTGGAACTGGAATTATTTAATTTTTTAATTGCACCTGCGGTATAAATGAACACGGATTTTGATATAAAAATAGATATAAGTGATTACGTTAGACATTAGCAAAACAATAATAAAAAATAAACTGACAAAAAATATTTGTGTTATGTAAATGCCAGTGAAGATTGGACATTAGTATACGAATGACAGAGGGACGTTTTTTTGCGCTGACACTTGGGTGGGGGAAACTTAATGACTAATAGGTGTACCGTTTGTAAACAGAGGCCAAAATAGTGAAAGTGTGTGTCTTTAAAGTCCGCACCTTACTTGAATTGCGGCGCGTTCAAATACCAAAGAAGTGAAAAGTTGTAATTTATTTGATAAAAGTATCTGTAATTAAAATCATTGAGGTTTCACGCCGTACTGAGCCCGTCAATTGCTACTTTAAAGTGAAAGCCATTCTTTAAATTGAAGGATTATTGCGTACACTTTATGACTGGATTTTTGTGTGTTTCTAATGTAATCTAAGTGAAAGGAATTTAAATCTTATGATGGAATAACAACTATTATTGAAGCAAAAATGGATCCGAATCTTTATCAAAATCAAAACCTGGCGGGATCCATGAACTTTCAAAGTTCTGACCCCCTTAATATGTCTGGTAACCTTGGTAATCTACAGAGTTATACGCCGGAACAGTTAATTCAACTACAGCAGATCAGTCAACAGCAAATACAACAGTTACAAGCCCAGCTGGCCAAGGTCCAGCTAGCCGGTTCCACAGTTGCCTCGAACCCATATGCAAACACTTTTGCCGCTGTTTCACCTACATCGCCAGTTGGAATTAATACGGGACCATTGTATGCACCTAATGCTCAGAGTTCACCAGTTATCAATCCTAATTTTATACCGGCATTTCCGGTTGGGAATTCAAATCCAGCAATGTCACCAGGAGGCGGACCGATTCCACTTAACGCTTCTATGAACATATCTTTAAATGGCCAAATGCCAAATATTTCACAAACAAACATGAACACTTCAAGTTATAATCAAATGACTTATCCTAATACCTCTATAGGGATTAATGGTCAGTTATCTAACCAGATTCAGGTCCAAGTGCCAAAACCGTCAGAACAATTACAGGGTCAAGCACGTTTCGTTTCCGCTCCGAATAGCCTGCATCTTCAACAAATTAATCAACCGCGTAGTTTATCCAGTAGCAGTTACAGTTCATCGGCACCATCAACACCACAAGATTCCCCAGCTGTGTCGAAAAAGGAACAGCAATCTATTGCTACTGCTAACGACGTGCCGATCTTTATGCAACGGCCACGGCAACAGATAACCTCTCCTCCATCAGCGCGTCCCCCGCCAGCGACAGCATCTGACCGAAGTAGTACCTCTTCTTCCATCCCAGGCTCTCCATCGAGCTCGGGGAATCCACCGTTTTCTCCAGATGGAAGCTTATCCGACTCTTTTGGACCAATCTCTCCTGAAGGCACACCTAAGAAAGGTATAAATGGTGAAACAAAGCTCGGTAGCCAAATAAAGAATAAGCCGCTACATATGGAAACTAGGTATCCGCAGGACAAATGTTATCATTGTATGAAAAAAGTTTACCCGATGGAAAAATTAGGACCGGTAAGAGGGGTGGTGTTCCATAAAATATGTTTCAAATGTAGCACGTGTAATACTACTCTAAATATGAAAAACTTTTCTCATAATCAAAGTGATTCATTCGATAAATCTGTTTACTGTAAGTCACATCAGCCGGTCTCAACACATGCAGGCCCTAAACTTGATACAAACAGTTTTGAAATAAAATCTGCTCTCAAAGCACCAAAAACGGGAGGAGTTACTCCGGAATCAGAACGGGTACCGATACATAAATACAGCTATGACGTAACTAGCAGAGAAATAGAGCACGCGCGGAAGGTTCCAGTAGCAGACCTTCAGTCAGGAGTAAAGGCCAGAAACCATGCATGGAGTAAGTCTAAAAGGGAGAATTACAATAATTTACCAACAAATATTGTTAAACATGACGAACAAGTTCCCGAATATGACGAGGAAGGATATCGTAGGCATGTTGTAGAAACACAACCTGACTATTAACATAGATAAATTTACATGAAATCACATTTTCATGTTATTCACGTGGTTGAAACATAAATCTCTGCCAAATAAAGCTATCAATATAGTTATATATTTTTGAAGAATGTTTGTCAACAGACAGAAAAGCAATATGTTAAGTGTTGATAAAATCTGGGACTAAAGATAATAGTATTTAAGTCCCAGATAAAATGCCTTGGAAACCGCGATACAGGAATATTATCGCACACTTTTGAAAAAAGATAGAGAAGATTTTTAATGTATCTATGCAGAGTGATGCAAATACATGAATATCCAAGACAGCTGAGTATACCAAGCAATGTTCATATGCAGATTTAGATTAAAAGATGTTAGTAACGTTTTAGATAAGAACATCGCATGAACTGTTATATGTCTAAATATGTGTCCCATATGTATTACTGTAAGAACTCTGTTACTCTAGTAATATCACATAACATTTTACCTGTTATATAGGACGATCAACAGTCACAGTTAGTTATATTCTATAATATTCAACGATTTATGGCATACATGTACGATAGAATTATATTATCAATAATACGTATTTATATGTATATCTGTATAAATACACATTACATGTCATTTATCTTTCTTAAATATCTGGATCTAGCACAACAAATGCCATTCAGCATTTTGAACATTAATGTATTTTTTCCTAATTCAGTTTCTAGTTTCATTTCAAGTCTTAAATTAAATAAATCTTCCAAACTTTGGTAATATCATAACAGTGGTCCTATTTTAAGCCGTGTATTTATTTTTCGGATTTTGTTTTTCCTTTAGACGGTCTCCTTTTTGTCCATTGCTTTATTGAAAATGGTGAATAGAAACTGGCTTTAAATTCAATTTTTCTTAATTCTTTTTGAATTGTTCATATACAACTGTTTGTTCAATTAACTTAAAGACGGAAAAGTAAATATTATATTAATGTACTATTGCTGTTATTTGAAACGTTTCTGTTTCCTAAACAATTTTTACTTGCTTTTAATTCAGGCTTACTAATATAAACATATTTTGAAACGTTACATTTACAGGGCCTTTAAATTCTTAGAAACAGCCTTGAAAATTGTCATATACAGTTATGAATCAATATTTGCCATGTCATTTCATTAACTATATATAACTTGTACTATTTTAAGATAAATTGTATTGAAATATGATTTTCAATTCTTTTGAATCTAATGAAAGGTAAAAAAAACTCCAGTGTTCATGCTTAGTTGAACGAATTTAAGGCCACTATAAGAACAAAACAGATAAATGTCACAAACTTAGGTATATAGTGAGATTGTACAAAAGTATGCGATATGTTATACCATTGTGTATTTGTTTGAAATCGATATTTTTTCATGCAATGCAGACATTCAATACCCCCCTTTTTTAAGAAGCAATATTATAGCTTTTAATTGTGTGAAATTATTCAGATATCAAACTACTCTTGTATTTGTTTTGTATAAATGTATTCAATAGTAGATAATATGTTAAGTATGTTATTAAGTGTACCGATTTACAAGACCTAAATCTTTAAAATAGTCATGAATAAGAAATAAATAAATAAAAAACCAACCAAACAAGTGCCAAAAATGTACAGTTTAAAGTATATCTTGATAGTATATCGTAGAAATGTGGGTTCAGATTGTTCTACTGATTATAATGGTATAGTAATACATTTGTAATATGTATGTAATAGTAATGGTATACATAAATAGTCTACAGGGTTTAACAGGTTACAGGTGAATGTTGGGATTTTTGTAAGATTATTGAATTCCTTTATTTAAAGCTGAATTTGTTTGTCTAATATTGCTATTAATATAACTAGTTATAACACACACCTCAATGCGTAAACTTTTGTTACCGAATTTATATAGAAAATTCCAAATTTGCGTTTAGCGTAAAATACGTGAATAACATGCAGAATTGTGTTTTTATTATAATGTATGTAACCATATTTATGTTGTTAAAAATGTGACATGTATTAATTGTTTGTGGTATTTTAAGGCAAGGAAACATGAGTAGACGCTCCGATGACAAACATATTTTGTGTATTTTCCTTCTATTTTATGTCGCGGCAGACGATATATACATTGCATAACACGAGTGTTTTCTCTCTAAACTTTCGATTTAATCGGATATAGATTGCTTGCTGAACTGTGTAAATTTCATTTCAAATAATGTTTTCAAACGCACAAGTCCGTGTAAAAGATGTAGATTATTTCTTTAAGGTAAATTACATTCTCTTAATTGATACTAAAGTTGGTGTAACGCAAGGCGGTACGATTGTTCGCAGCATTTTAGACGCTTGTTACTGGCGACCTTTACTGACCGCTTTAATTTGCACTTTTAGTTTAGAGATACAATGCTTACCTTAGCAATAATCTTCATCCGGGAAATATTTTATTTACTACGACCCAATTATTCAAGAATTAAAATAAAAAGAAGGTATCTTACAAAATAAAGTATGGAGGACCGTTGCCACCAAAACTTGTTAAAAATCACATAACTCATCAGAAATGAAAACTATTTTTATTCTCTGAAGAAAATGCAAGTATGTGGATTTTATGATTTTTAATGTTTGAATACTTGATTTAGAACATGTTACATTATGGTCACGTGGAGCTAGAATGCCTTGTTGAACGGGCCACGAAGTAGCAAAAAATAGAGTGGCACTTTGTCTTCCATACAAAAATTAAATCGCTACAACTTTATTTACTTTTGACCTGAAAGCAAAAACGGATTCAGGGTTTTACGGTTGATGAGTACTATTTTGGAAACTGTAAAAGAACACCAAAAATAAATATGTTCTGAGATATAAAAATGATAGCATTCTTTATTTAGTAGACCTTAAATAAATCTATTGACGATAAGATCTATTAGAAAGTATATATTAATTTATGATCATGATAATTCAGCAGTTAACACTTTTTTATTTTAAAAAATCATTCACTTTATCTAACCATCTAAGCAATGACCTTTTAACCACCTAAAAGTAAACATTAAGCTTAACATTGATATAAAAGTTAGCATGATGTAGGAAAGAGGTCACTGAATTGCAGAAGTAAGCACATTTTCAAAATGAATTTACAACCGAATATGTAACTTATCTTTTTACTGTATATGCGTACCTCACATAATGTACAATACTTAAAACTTTTGTATGTGATCTTTACTGGAGACGTGAATACATATTTACATATATAACATAGTTTGTGTGTTTAGAGGTTTGAACATAAAACTGATCTATTTATATCATTTGTTATAAGGCCCCTTAGAAATGCTTTCATTTTATAGCTCAAAAGCTTTTTTATTTTGATAAACTTTTATAGTTTCCAAAAGCTTACTGATTGGCCATCTTTTTCATCTGTTTCTTTTTTGGCATTAAGTACAGTTATATAAATGTATATTGAATTAGTATTTTACATGAAAGTCAAAAATACTATTTTGTTTACATTTTGCTACTTTTATGACAAATTATTTCATATTTATCGCTACTTTTTTCAAGTAAAAAAGCCTTTACCATTCTCCAAAACCATTATTTAAACATTACAAAATTCATGCTTGACCTTTCTAAAGAAGTAAAAATTTATTTGTTTCTGAGGAATAAAGTGCCTTTAAGAAGGAACTGTGTAAAGAAAACACATGAACTATAGTTCAGAGATATGTCCCGCGAATGATTGATAAATGTATGTTTTCACAGCATCATGCCAACACATATGTTATAGCTTACACTATATGCCATATAGATTCTACATGTTATATATCATATGTATATTTAGTACACTTTTTGATATAGATGTTTTGTATGTTGAGCAAAATTAATATGTTTTATGTTTAATTTTCCCTAGTAATGATGATATTTTACCAGACTTTTTACACGGCGTTCATCACTTAAATATTTCTGCATTTTAAACACTTAAATTAATGAAAACATTTTGATAAGCGTGAAAAAAAAGAGATTTGAGTTTCGTCAGTCATGTATAAACCTGTGATATGGATTGTGCTTTTATATTGTATTCTTTAGTGTAAGAAATATATACATGTATTGTATTTATGCCTTGAATTGTTATCACTCGGGATTACCTGGCGATATTAACATAAATGTTTGTTTTAATACTCATAGATTCCAATAACCAAAGAATTTGTTTGTATATTTTGTTTGATATATAGTTTCAAATGTTAAGAGTACTTATGCTGGAAAGGACAAGAGTTTGTCCCAGTCTGCAATGTATTTTAGAAATGGGAAATAATGTTTTTGTTTTCGGGTAATATAAATATATAAGAACTGTGATTGATGTTGAAATGTCAGATAGACTGATAATTTGATGTTGCTTTTAGAACACCAATGTCAATAGTGTTAATTACTCCCGCAATGTTATCTTGATAAAACTGTTTTCCAGTGAAACATTAACGATCAACCTGTTGCAAAATTTGTCCAACTGAACTGACATAGCTTTGAATTCGGAATAGTCCGTTTAAATTTTTAAGGGTTTTCAAAATACAAAAAACTTGACCTGGCTCTATAATGGTCTTATAAGCTAAAAACTGTCGGTTCCGTTAATGTTTATCTTGCTTTTTGAAACAACCCCTCAGTTTGTTTATAATTTTAATTATAATATCAATTTTTTACTATTAAATTTTATGAGTTGTAGATCTACAGTTTCTTAAATATGAGAAGCTTAGACTTCACGTTTAAACTACGTTTAAGTCTAACAACAACAACAACAACAACTGATAGAAATAGTTGATATGCTCTATAAATGTCACAATCGTAACTTTTCGGCCCTTTCCGTCAGTCTTCGGATAAGGTTTCTGTTTACATCTGAAACTACTTTCTTGTTTCCGAGGTTATTATAGATAATAGCCGAGGATGTTCCGATTGTAAATGTCGTATATAAGAATTATCAAAAAAAGCTGAATGCTCGGTTCGCTGTAAAAAAAATAGAAATAAACCGTTTAATAGTAATGAGCTAAGGTTTATCCAAAATATGTAGGGGATGTTTCAATACACTTATTTTGTGTCAAAAAACATGTTATTTCTTATACATGTACTCACAGTAGTTTGATATTTATAATATTTATAATGATTTTATGATATTATTGTTACAATATGTTATTGTTATGCACAACCTTATATAAACTTGTTACCTATGTCATAATTTGTTGTTGTCATTTTTTAATTTCCATATGAATGGTGATTTTATAAACATCTTTATCTCCAAACAAAATGTGTTATACTTGCAGACTCTGCAGACTCTGCTATAGACTGATGGACAACGTCCAATCTCTCCGAACGTGGGATTGAAATTTGATATAAAAGATATTTTAAGACATTTACAATATTAATGGTATTAAAAATCACCCGCTGGTGTCAACTGGACTGGAAATTATTTTTCGATATTTGTGTACCATTTAATGAACGTTTGGACAAATAACTTAATGTAGGAACAGTAGTAAAGTAGTAGGACGCGCGCTTAGGGATCGAGAGGTCCCGGGTTCGAACCCCACCAGGGGCACTCCTAATTTCCTTGAGCAAGAAATTTACCTGCGATTGCTTCACTTCACCCAGGTGTAAATGGGTACCTGCGAGGGTGGTATAATTCCGTTGCGCCAAAGTGTCGGCTGCACTAAGCGGATTTAAAAAGACTCCCCAGGGAGATTGATAGATAGATACCAGTAGCCCGATGACCAGGGGTAATAGCTGTTAAGTCGGTGAACGTGCGTAAGCATGAAACTTAGACTATAAAATGCAATTACTTAAATCTGTAAATCCCTCACTCCATTTATTCAGAATAATCATTTTTATTGTGCAAAATGACCCAAAAATGAAAAACGTTGCAATGATTTTCTCTGAAATTTGGGTAAGAATCGCACAATATCAATATTCAATTCAATTCTGAGTATATTTCATCATTAGTCTTTGTGCAGATTTTTTCCATTTTAAGTGCTACTTGATTCGTGTAAGAATTTCCAATGATATATTTTTATGCTTTTTGATCTCCGCGGAGTTCCTTTAAAAGAATACCTGTTCTAATTTACTCCTATAATTAATAAATGATATTTTACCCAGTATCTGTATACCATTATTGACCTCTTTTAAGTATTGTCTCCAATTTTCCAAAAACATATTGATTTAGAAAGAATTCAGTTTTAACACTGTTTTTCATGTCAACATTAAAGGGACTCCATCGAGTTTTTTTTTAACATGACGGGACTGGAAAAATACCCATTCGATGTAGGTCTTGATCAATAAATAGAATGCAAAATTTCAGAACATTCGCTCATTACGTTTTTTTCAGAACAGTTTCACAAATTGTGAAAAATAACCCGAAACTGAAAAGCGTTGTAACGTTTTTCACTCAAATCGGGCTAAGAATATCCCAGAAATACGATTTTCAATTCATTTCTAAGTATATTTCTTAATCATCTTTTTCATATCCTTCTCAGTTGATTTGTGTAACAACTTTAAATTTTATGTTTTTGGTTTCGGGACCTCTGTGGAGTTTCATTAAATTTTCGTATGTTTTTTTTTATAAAAGCATTTCTTTTTCGGAAGCTGGAAACCAAAATAATCGACAGATTTACAGTTTTAGTCGGATTATGAGTGAAACTTTTAAACTGTAAAGATAAGAGTTGCTTGCTTCCACATTTTCCCCTTATAAATGATAAGCAACTTGAACTCATAGGAGAATGCACATTGCAACTTTATACATGATGTGGGGAGAGTTCAATGTTAGCATTTATATAAGATTGGCCAAAGATCGATTGTATGAACCACGTTATAAAAACGCCTGTCAACTAAACATGAAGAATAATTGAGAAATTATGAAGTGAATTTTTCATTATAATAAGTTATTTTAAATATAGACATCAAATTCTAAACTGGAGCAAGCATGACATCGCATTTTTCAGTCGATTGGGTTTTCATAATTTTTCAGTCTGATTCAGTTACATACATTATCAAAAGCCTTTTCTATGGAAACCAGTCACCCGAGTTCTTATGTGGACAAGTAGTTTGTATGTAGGTAATTTTGCATGATAAATGATCACCATCAAAGTAAAATGCTGGTGTTTTAAGTGACACAGTTTTTATTTCGAAATATGTTCTTATAACATTTCTGACGATTATTGCTCTGTAAAGTGCCCACATGAGTTGGTCTTTAAAATGAGGTATTGGTCAAGTTTCAGGCCTCATATAATAACTTAACGATTCCGAACTAAATATATCAAAAAGGAACAAGTATAAATAAAATTAAGATAAAACAGATCCCGACAAAGTCCATATTAACGGCGCATAAAACATGATGTATAAAACGCAGGTAGGTTATGTCATAGTTTTACTGAAACTTTAAAAGATGATCTCCCACATATTGATACTATACATGGTCGATGGTGATGAAGAGCCAGCGAATAAAATATCCAGCTTTGGTGACAAAAGTCTCTTTTGCTAGCCGCAGGTAAACTATAAGTCACTGGACTGAGTACTTCCGTGCCTGATATACAAAAGAATTATCTAAGTTCTTCTGCTAAAGTTCTTCTTCTACAAGAGAAAGAAAAGCTGAACCATCTCTAAATAGGCTTATATATAGTTCGGTTAAAACATACTTATTTAACCCTTTCACTGCCATAGGGACGGCTTAAGCCGTCCCTGTTATTTTCAGCGTATTTGCCATATGGACGGCTTTAGCCGTTTCTATAATAATAATAGTAATAATAATAAATTAATAAAAATAATAATAAAAATAATAATAAATATAAAGATAATTATACCATCGACAATAATTATTATTATACTAACAGATTTGGAAACATATATAATTATTATAATACTAATAACAAATAATAATAATTATATTAATTAATCATATAGTAATTTCTTAGAAAATCCTCTGGCAAATAGGTGATCAATAAATAAATAACCCTCTGGCAGTGAAAGGGTTAAGCTTGATTGTGAAATAATTTATATTAATCACTTTAGAGTCCGCATCCTGGAACCAACCAGTACTGGTGTCATATGAAGAAACATCGTCGTGACCCGAGATCTCTGGCTAAGGGGCAGACACCTTAAATGAGCTAATATATATATAATAGGCTTATATTACCTTAACAGTGCCATCGGGCTAAGAATAGCACAACAGATTTTTAATTTATTTCTCAGTACATTGCTGAATTATCTTTTGCATGCTTTTTTCTGTTTTCAGTGACCCGGTCATTTTTGTAAGAAATTCAAATTTATGTGTATTTTTTTTGCTCTTGGGTCTCATTTCAGTTCCTTTATTGTTATATTTTTGGGGAAAAACTTCTATTTTCAAAACTATACCATAAATACAAGCCATAAACCTCATATACGCTATTTTTTTCATTTTTAATTTTCTCTTCAAGGTGCCGTACTGTACACTATTATTTGAAGGGTAAACCGACAATGATTTTTGAATTTTGTTTTGTTAATATCCATGCTTAAACTTACAGAATAGCTAAGCTTAACGTTTAGACACATATAATAAGGATCTTACACTGGCTGCCGTAACATACCTAATTTGAGGGTAACTGTTTGCGGCGGAGGCCCAGTCGAGTTTCCGCTCAACAGTAAGCCGAGGGCTAGATATTTCCGTTTGTGACGACAGCCGGTGCTTGATTCGTTTTCTTGCATATTGCATTTTAGTAATATTTCAAATAAAGATTACGAAATATTTTTAAAAAGCATCTTTTCCCAATTTACAACTTCATTCAAAACGGCAAAATAACGTCATCATAAGAAACGTTCTTCATTTGTCGAAGGCACGCTAGAATGACGTTAATTTAAAATCATCTGACTTGTCTTGGATGGATATGGGGTGGGCATGGAGAAAGGCGGAGTGACATGCTTTTCTACCACCGGTATATACAAGCCTGTCTGATGTTGAAAAATGTTTATTTGAGTGTAAATGAACTTAACGTCATGAAGAATAGAGCTCTAATTAAGATCTAATGCAAAGGTATAACTTCTACTTTTACATCCCAAACACTGCACGATATTTATACTCAAACAGCAAACTTTTCCTTTTGAAAAATTGATTACATAAATATGCAGATAATATCAAAATAACGTGGGTTTTGATTAATGTAGGTGTTTAGGTAAGTTGTCAAGATTACCTTTTGCGATTTTTATGGTCATGTCGAGCTTTATATTTCTATTTACACCATGATGTGTTGTGTATTTTAGTCTATTTATTATCCGCTGTAAAGGGATATTTTGATGGGTAGACAATAATCTGGCAGTTGTAAACCGTGAATAGTTTGTGGACAGATAGTTAAAAGATGATTGAAAAATATGTCAACATAGGTTTTATCTATTCAATAACATGAGATAGGAAATACGATAGCCCATTTCATTGAAAACCAACATACCAATGAAAAAATTCAATTATCTACCTGATATAAGACCGTACCGTCTATAAATAAACATTTTAAACCAAGATTACAATCTATGTATACATTCTATAAATCGTTTTAAACATAGTAAATGAAATTTTTAACTTAAAATTTACCAACACACTCAGTCCGTTTAAGGAATTTAAAGGGGTATAGCTACTATTAAGTATGTAAAATGGAATTCTAAGTGCAATATATTGAGGGTTTCGTTTAAAGTCGGAGAAAATATGGCCGCATTCTAGCCACATATGACTAGAAATATATTAGTAATTTATCATATTAATAGATAAAATAAGATACTGTATAAACTAAATCGTGATAGAGGACCAAATTCTCCCCCGACCTGTCTGTCCATTGCCCGTGTGCTGTTTTATAATTTTAGTACTTTTATACGGACACTTAATTGAATCGCAGACATTTCTCAAACTAGACGTCAAAATACAAAATAGATTTAATAGATCAAATCTGTTATAAGTTACTGCTATATATGCCTGTATAGAACATATATACATTTCTTAAGTTTTACTGTGCGGATCACACAGCAAAATGCATTAATAAGTTCGCTCCTTGCAGTGAGATATTTATTTGTATTATTTGTGAATATTTTTATTCATAAATTTACGTACACAAAAATAGGCATGTTATTTTTTTTAGGGTTATATGTTGTATAAGATATATCTTCACCTAAACATTGCCAACCAGATTCAGATACCCGCAGAAACGTCAATAAATCAGCCGCGTTACGACAAAACCAACATATAGAGGATATTTGTTTGTTTGTGTGTAAGATGAAATTTTATTTCATCGAGTGGGCTTTAAAAACAGTATTCTCACGAGTGGCGAAGCCACGAGTGAGAATACTGTTTTTAAAGTTCACGAGATGAAATAAAATTACATCTTACACAACAAACAGACAAATTTTCTTTTTATTTTATGCTTAAAAACAAGTTAAAACGAAATTTCCATAATTTTAACGTTAATATTAAAACTGTTTCCCCCATTGAGAGCCCCATTTATCCGGAATTTCTCATAAAAAAAGAAGTCTTGAGCTGAAAAATAAGTCCGCCAATCAACATTAAATGACGGTGATATTTATTAATTTTATTAAAAAAATATGAATGATCGCTTGTTTTGATACTAAAAACAAACAATTCTTGTAGGAGAAAAAGTCCAACCATCCATCCATATTTCTGTTACTTAGTGCGAATTTATATTAGACCTGGCTTTGTAAATTGTAAGCGGCAGCCATTTTTTAAAGTTGTGTATTTCATGGGAGGAAAATAATTGTGTAAGATTCAGAGGGATATAATTTGGATTTGTTAGTCATACACATTTTTAAAAGAAAGAAAACTTATTTGAGGATTGTACAGATGTGAAAACATTCAGAAAAGGAGCTAGGAAAATGGAAAACTTGGAAACCTGCTCAAGAACGCTGGGTTGATTTAACTTATTCTTCGAGTTATGCCTAATGGCTGTCAATGCTTTCAATTTTTCATAAAGCATACGGCAGTTATTGCTCGTAGGATACTTTAATATGCCCAAATGTCATCAAGAGCAGTTTTGCATGGGGAAGGAATGTATTTTTTGAGACTGTCAAAATGAAACCAAAAAAACGAAAAATTGGTGATTGGAATTTCATGAATTTGAATGAATAGAAGTAAGTTTTTCTTCTTTTTATTACTTTTGACATTTAAGTTATTTATCAATTTCAGTTTTGCTTTTTCTTTAAACAGCCTGACATTGTCAGAATTGTCAGCAAAAATTAAAAATTGAGGTACCACATGGGGAAAATCTTAAAAAAGTAGTTTCGTCATTGAAAAGAGTGAAATTATATTTTGATAATTTTCACTGTGAAATTACCAAATATAATTTTCACGGATAAATCAGTAATCCACTGAAAAGCATAAAATAAAGTTGGTTATCTGTACCAGTAGAAAGCAAAATAGATCTGTCAGCTCGAAACCTCAGGTCACGTGTTCACTAAGATAAGATCACGATTACGATCAAATTATCCTAATTTTATTTCAATTGTTTTATAAAAAATAATCGTTAATAAAAGTAAACTTGATCGTATTTTAGCTCAAATTAAATGGTACATAAACAAAATGTAAAAAAAATGCCGATTTGCGGAAAGCTTCCTTTTTTGTGATAAAATTGACAAATAACAAAACAAATACAAAAATAATCGTATCAAAATAAGAATGAATTTTAAAACTGTAAGATATCCATATCTTGTCAAATAGCAATAAATTTATCCTAAAATTAAATTTCATTAACATGCTGTTTCAAGATAATTTTTATCAAGTTTATAATCTATTATGATTAATAATGAGAATATCTGAGTTTGATATTGTTCCTGATCTTTTATTCTTAGTGAAAAAGTTACTGTTGTGAAAATAACACATTCGAAAAAATATATCCTATTTTTAGATACAAGGGTCGTATATGCAACAAAGGGAAAGCAAAAAATGATGATAAAAATATAGAGTAGGAGCATTTATCTACCTTCGTCTAAACTAAACTGATAATTTCATACTTCAGTGGCTTCCGTATTTTTGGAAAATTGACCTTTAGATCACTGCCTTGATTAACAGCCACCCGGCTCTTTGCGGTATTTATTCGCCTGTCAAAGAAACTAAATATACGGCATTGCACTGTTTGTAAAGGTAAGATTTTTACTTATAATTATAATTATGTTAATTCTGTGTTTTTGCATATTTAAATATTATTTAATTAATTAGATTTAGCCCGTTTTAATAAGTTTAAGTCACGAGTTTCAGTCTTATTAATTCGTGTGTCTTGGTATGCAGCTGTAATTAGACATCGATTCCTAATTTCAACATATCAAAAGATGATTAAATGATTTTTATAAATGTACATGTCTACTTTCGGTTTCAACTTCCTTTGTTAAATAGAGTACGAAAGCCATAAACGCACATATTTAAAACTTGACAGAGCAATTGGAATTGACATGTCTTTTATTCTTCCTTCTCATGAGAAGAAAGAACTACGTTTCATGAAACTCACTGAGACGTGACGATATTAAAATTCACCTAGAAATCCAAAGCATTCAGAATGCATAAGAACTTGTTATATGTATTTTCTAGAACACGGGGGTGGAACCCCATGTGAATCTCAAAATTGAGCATCGGTAAACAATATATGTGAATTTCCGCTGCTCAGTATGTGCAGTATAACTCGATATGCAAAGGAGTAAATAGGTCAATCACAGGGTAAATTTTAAACATTTTAAACATTTATATAAAATTCAAAGCTTTTTTAATGAAAATCAAAATGTGATTCTACCCTCCTGGCTTTCCTCTATATTTACCCATTTTTGTTCGGAATTTTATGCAGTCTTCATAGAGATATTGTTTCCGTCGTGGGTTCAGGTGTGCCCAAAATATGCAGCGTGCTAAAAATGCCCTACCCCAGTGTAGAAGCACTGGACTGACAATTATGTACACATTAAAATATGATAACGATCAGATTTCAAGCTTCAGATCAGTAACGTATTGTCATAATTATATCATTTTACGGAGTATACGGAGATACCATAAATTTGACAATCGTATAAGATCGAGTTAAACTATAAATTATATGATATTTATAATAAATAGAATGCATCAAGTAATAGAAAGAGCACCGAAACACGAGGTTATCTGATTTGTACGAGGGGGCGTAGCCCCCGAGTATTAATCAGATTGCCGAGTTTTTGGTGTTCTTTCTCTTTTGTATCATAGTCAAACATAAAAACACGTTCCCTGTTGTCACAATATGAAACCCCGGCAAAAATGAACCAATGAACGAACATCTGAATATGATATTTCTGTCGCTTTCCCTTTCTCTGCCGTCACAAAATGTAAACCCCAGCAAAAATGAGCCAATCAATGGGCATGCTCTGGAGTGCGGGTAACTAATACCCGCACTCCAGTTAACGCACTGTGCATGTATATGTATACAATTTAACCCTGACACATTTTCAACAGAAAGGTCTCCAAACTATGATACAAGACATGTTTGTATCATAGTTTGGGGACCTTTCTTTTGAGTTAAATCGTATACATATACATGCACAGTGCGTTAACTGGAGTGCAGGGATTAGTTACCCGCACTCCAGAGCATGCCCATTGATTGGCTCATTTTTGCTTGGGTTTACATACTGTGACGGAAGAGAAAGGGAAAACGACAGAAATATCATATTCAGATGCTCGTTCATTGGTCACTTTTTCCCGGGGTTTCATATTGTGACAACAGGGAGCGTGATTTTATGTTTGACTATGAACATCAAAACACTCGGCAATCTGATTAATACTCGGGGGCTATGCCCCCTCGTACAAATCAGATAGCCTCGTGTTTCGATGCTCTTTCTATTACAAATCATATCACTTTGTCTAATGATCCTACATTCTGCATTTCCTTGTACAAATGGGGAAAATCAATTTTCTGTTTGGGCTGTAAAGTTAATGGCATATAATTTTTAGCTCGACCTTTTTTGAAAAAAGAAAATAGAGATATTGTAACAGTCAGTTCATATATGAGCCGCGTCATAACAGAACCAAGATAATGGGTTTGCGACCAGCATGGGTCCAGAACAGCCTGTGCATCCGCGCAGTCTGATTAAGATCCATTCTGTTCGCTTACAAACTTTATTGCAAGAAAGGAATCTGATGGCGAACAGCATGGATCCAGATCAGACTGCGCGGAAAAGCATTACTTTGGTTTTGTCATGACGCGGCTTATATGTATTTATCTGTAATAGGTATTGATCGTGATAATTGGCAACTCATCATTCGATAAAATGGAGGGAAAATTGACGGAAAAATATATGGACCAACTCGAGCAATGGATAGGTACAGGGCCCAAGACATTTACACTCCTCTATGCCATAACACGTGACGGATGTGACCCTGCGACATTCAATCAAATATGTGATAACAAGGGTGCCACCGTCACAGTTTTGTATAACCAACATGGGTCAGTTTATGGTGGTTATACTAGTGTCAGTTGGACGTCAAAAACTGGAGTTCGTGTTAAAGATGATAAAGCGTTTTTGTACCAGCTCAGGTATAGTGGAAGTGACAATATAAATAAATTTCAAGTAAAAACTCCGGATCATGCCGTTGTTCATAATAATCAATGGGGGCCATTATTTGGATATAGTAATGAGTTGTTCACATTTAATGGTAGAATAAACAGATCTGGAAACATCTTTCCATTAAATGGAGGTATGAATAATTTCGGAAATACATACAACAACCAGGGAATGACAGCTGACCAGATAAATAACGGTACAATGGAAGTGACTGAACTTGAAGTTTACATGGTAACAGGTAATATATCAAATATTATTCTTTCTTCATAACCTGATTAATACATATTCAAAATTGATTTCATTTCCTAAAAATCTAAATTGACTCAATTTTATGGAATAATGTATTTATCAAACTTTTCTTGTAGCATAATTTTGTATGGAAATAATTTTTTTTTAAAAGTTCATTGCAAATGAGTGAGACCTATGTATTCTGAATTATCATTGCTATTAGACGACATAAATTTTATTAATTTAATCTTGTAGGATTGTTAAATACAAGGAGTAGAGTATTCTAAAAAAAAACCCACAAAAAACAAGAGTTTGATATTTTAAACTTTGCTTGACCTTCTCATCGAAATAATATTACTTAAAATTAAATACAGTTCATCCTCACAAAGTTTGAATTGGGATATTGTGCTTCTTTTTTGTTGTGACTTATTATGTGTACTGTTTATGTATATGTAAAATGATTATGTACATGTACTTATATTATACATGTATGTATTTGTTCTGACAGAAAATGATATTATCATGATATTTTAGATGGTCAACGTATAAAGAAAACAGAGAAGAAAAGTTCACCTTGGCGAAAAATTAAGGACTGGAACGAAAAGGTAAGATAGATCAAGATTAAATAATTTTGTACTTGAAGGTAGGGTGTATTGTGTTTGTGCGGAACGACTTAGGTCTCATATATTGGCCGAGATTGTGTGAAATATGTATTAATGACATATAATGTAAATATAAAAGTTACATTTATTAAGATGTATTGCGGTAAATAAACACTTGATTTCAAGAAATGTTGAAGTTCTGTAAGGCAGCGAGAATAATTCTTTCAAGCAGAATTGTTATTTAGATAGCTCATAAGAAATTTGATGATAATAATGGGAGACAAAAAGTTAAATTGCCTTACCTGGGCCTATACTTTTGTTATGTATGAGAGGAAAACAATAAGAGACAAAATACAAAAGTACATATGTCTCATGATAAAAGAAAAAAGTACATATGTGGCATTATAAGGGAAATGTACATATGTCTTATGATAAGAGAAAAAGTACATATGTCTTATGATAAAAAAAAGTACATATGTGTCATTATAAGGGAAAATGTACATATGTCTTATGATAAGAGAAAAAGTACATATGTCTTATGATAAAAGAAAAAAGTACATATGTGTCATTATTAGGGAAATGTACAAATGTCTAATGAAAAGAGAAAAAGTACATATGACTCATGATAAGAGAAATAGGACATATGTCTTATGATAAAAGAAAAAAAGTACATGAGTGTCATTATAAGTGAAAATGTACATATGTCTCATTATAAGAGAAAAAGTACATATGACTCGTGATAAGAGAAATAGTACATATGTCTCATGATAAGAGAAAACGTACATATGTTTCATGATAAGAGGAAAAGTACATATGTCTTATCATAAGAGAAAAAGTACATATGACTCATGTTAAGAGAAATAGTACATATGTTTTATGATAAAAGAAAAAAATACATATGTGTCATTATAAGGGAAAATGTACATATGTCTTATTATAAGCGAAAAAGTACATATGACTCATGATAAGAGAATTAGTACATATGTGTCATGATAAAGAAAAAGTACATATATATCATGATAAGGGAAAAAAGTACATATGTCTCATAATAAGAGAAAAAGGACATATGTCTCATAATAAGAGACATAGTACGTATGTCTCATGATAAGGGAAAATGTATATATGTCTCATGATAATAGAAAAAGTACATATGTCTCATGATAATAGAAAAAGTACATATGTCTCATGATAATAGAAAAAGTATATATGTCTCATGATTAAAGAAAAAAACACAAATGTCTCATGATAATAGAAAAACAACGTATGTCTCATGATAATAGAAAAACAACGTATGTCTCATGATAGTAGAAAAAGGACATATGTCTTATGATAAGGGAAAAAGTACTTATGTCTCATGTTTAAAGAAAAAGTATATATGCCTCATGATAATGGAAAAGTACATATGTCTCATGATAATATGAAAAGTACATATGTCTCATGATAAGAGAAAAAGTATATATGTCTCATGATAATAGAAAAAATATATATGCCTCATGATAAGAGAAAAAGTACATATGTCTCATGATAAGAGAAAAAGTACTTATGTCTCATGTTTAAAGAAAAAGTATATATGTCTCATGATAATAGAAAAAATATATATGCCACATGATAAGAGAAAAAGTACATATGTCTCATGATAAGAGAAAAAGTACATATGTCTCATGATAATAGAAAAAGTACATATGTCTCATGATAATAGAAAAAGTACATATGTCTCATGATAATAGAAAAAGTACATATGTCTCATGATAATAGAAAAACAACGTATGTCTCATGATAATAGAAAAACAACGTATGTCTCATGATAGTAGAAAAAGTACATATGTCTCATGATAATAGAAAAAGTACATATGTCTCATGATTAAACAAAAAGTATATATGTCTCATGATTAAAGAAAAAAGACATATTGATACCTCCTCTGAAATGTAGTTTAAATGTAATGAATTGAAATGAAAAAAAATGCCTTATATGGACAAAATATACCAGTCTTATCAAGTGCTTATACTGTTTCAGTTTCATGATGACCTTAAAGAAGAGATGGTAAACTTTAAACCTATCCAAGGTTCGAATGTAAGCGATGCTCGAATCTTGATGTTAGGGCCGGTTGGTGCTGGAAAGTCCAGCTTCTTCAACACTATAGATTCAATTTACCGCGGGCGAATCACACAGCGAGCTGGCAGCGGAAGTTCAGAGCACAGTCTCACCACTGCAGTAAGTACCTATGATGAAATTTCAAGATCTGCACATACTATTTCGCATATAGTTTTTTTTATCTAAATAAAGGCTCCACAACTACCGTTCTAAAGATTTAACAACACATATTTGACAAATAACAACCAATTCTTCCATCAAAAGAGCAACAATGAAGCAAAAGAACAAAAGCAGACAATAAAGTGAAGAATTGATGACTTCACCATTAGTTAGATAATGTAACCTGACTATATTTGTTTCAGTTTGTTCCGTATTCTATCGAAATTTGTTCTGGGGCTACCTTGAACTTCCGGTTGTGTGATACACGTGGTCTAGAAGAATCCATGGGTATTGATGTACTGGAGTGTAACTATCTACTTGATGGAAACATACCGTACTATTACGAGGTATTTTTCAATAAGTTCTTTACATTGTTGAAACCACTATATGCTGAAAACATTAAAACATTACTGTGCAATATGTTAATTTCAATGTATTATAGCCCATTAATCAAGTCTAACTAAATTTCAAAACCTTATTAAAAAACAACCCAAAACAACAACAAAAAAAGAAAGAAAACAACAGCAACAACAACCCTCAAAAAATAATTTTCTAACTTTTAAAAACAACAACATTTTTTGTCAATCTCTCATGGCATATCTAATTTTAGTTTAACCCCACGAGACCAATTACTCCAGAATCGCATGGGTTCAAATCTGACCCTACTGGGAATGACAAAGTTCATTGTGCAGTGATTGTAGTTGACTCTACAACATTAGAGGTGCTGTCAACAAAAATTGTTGAGAAAATGAAAGGCCTTCGTGGACTTATGAATCAAAAAGGTAGATTTCAAAGTTATCAAATACATAGATTTTCTAAAAGGTGAGATTTTCATTATATTTAAAGCTTCTATATTGTATATCACTGTTACTACAATGCTATTGTATCATTCTTAGATTCCTGTTATGTTTGAAAATGTGTTTTATTCTCGCAATAAGGTAAGTTCATTTGATTTGATTTAAATCTTTGTTAATGTAACTCGTACGTTTAATGTTTCCCGTATATAAACTTTCAGGAATACCTCAACTTATTCTCCTGACAAAGGTGGATAAACTCTGTGATGACGTTCAGAAGGACCTGTCTCAGGTTTTCTACAGTTCAAAAGTGGAACAAGCCGTAGATAAAGCGTCACAACTTCTCGGTCTACCACGTGCTAACATACTTCCGGTGAAGAATTACGAAAACGAGGCTGAGCTTGACGACCACATTGATATACTTGCTCTGTTGGCTCTGCGTAAAATGCTTCATTGTTCTGAAGATTTCATGCTGAACATGAAACACAGGGAGAAAGATGTGCAAGGGGAAATGGGAAAACTGAAACTTGAAAAGTGATTTTGAATGCTAACATGTGAAACTTTACAAAAAAATTAAAGAAAAAAGAAAGGCTGTATAATGTACGCATTACATAAAATTGTTGTTGCATATTAATGAATAAACGAAAACAAAAATGTTTTGAAAATGTACAATACTGGAAATAGATTAATTGTTATATGTATGTCCTTGCAACATTTGCACATTTAGTGTAATCCCATTTTTTATTTGTATATATGTACCGGTGCATACACAGGCACATGCATGCACACACACACAATAAAATGCAATAATACATTATTACATAAATGTTAATATGCAAATAGCTTAGGCCAAAATTCTAACAACATAATCTAGGGCCCTCTATTGTTTTAATGTAATTCAAAGATGCTTTACTACAACAAGAATTATGTAAAATACTACATTTGTTTAAACTGAGTCATATATATGCAGAAAAAAGACAACATTACTATTCCTATAAAATTATAACATATTAACTCTTTAATGTTTATGAATTAATATCATCAGGTATCGCTTTTGGATAATGATAACAAAATTTATTTCACAACATATAAAGATAACCAATGAACTTCCAGCGTTTGCAACATTTCATGTCCCTATTTAAACATTGCTTCAATTTTCCCTCGTTTTCAATTTGCGAGGTGGAAAAGTTCATGTCAATTCATTATTGTACTTTGACTAGCCTTGTTTTATTATTCAGTGCCTATTTAATTCAAATCAAAAATTCAAAAATAAATAAGTCGACAGCTCTGTACTTATATAATATAATTTATAATATAACTCAGTATTATACTCAATAATAAATATAAACCTTAATAATATAAAATTTTCGTGATTGTTTAAATACCGTATAAATTGTATAAAAACAAAGCATATGTTGCTGACCAAAAATGTATCATTGTAAGAGCTGTCAGTATGACAGCACGCTCGACTATTCTTAGTGCTTGATAGTAAAAGAGCCTTGATAATGTAAAATTTTCTAAGTTCACAAAAGGGCCATTTTCTCAATCCATGTTACAGTTATAGGCCTTGGAAAGAGTCCTATTATGCTCTCAAAGAAGTGTATGAAATTTCAACTTGTTTCAAAGCAAGATGTCAATGAAAATATCTGAGGTAGTAAGCAAACTTTAACGTAAATTCTAAGTCGAAAAAGGGGCTTTATAATGTCAAAATGCTTAATAGAGTTACCTCCTTCTGTCTACAGATTGTAGTCATGATGGTGAACAAGTGTGCAAAGTTTCAAAGCCATATGCCGGTGGACTTTGAAAAAATTTACAGGTCTAAAGCTTATATTCAGTATGCAAAATGGAACCTATGCGCGATGTGGGCTTTGTTTGGGTTGGTTGGTTGCGTTTAAAGCAGCACGCCTTCAGATTCATGCTAATTTTCATGAAATGTTTGAAAATGTATTAAAAAGCAAAATATTGTGAAGTAAACAAAGAAAATAATTTTAACATTGCAAACAGCATTAACAACCCATGTAAATTACCCAAAAAGAGATAAAAATATGCAATAAGTAGCCCATACTGCGTTAGTAACGCATTAGAAAAATGGTAAAAAATACTGCAAAATCGGTCATAAATCGCTTATAACATAGAAATTTTACTTTTATCTTGAGTATTTTTACTTTTCTTAAAATCTCTTTTTACTCATGTTTTATTTTCTTGAAATATTTTTTGCTCATCTGGAGGCATGCAGATTTAAAGTCACATCGGCATTGTGGAGAAAATGCGACAACATTCTAGCCATATATGACTAGGGATATGTTTGTAACTTACCATATTAATAAATTAATGAAAAGTACTGTACTTAATCGTGAAAGAGGATCCAAGTCTCCCCCGTTCTGTCTGTCCATTGTCCGTGTACTGTTCAATAATTCAACTACTTTAATACGGACGCAGACATTTGTCAAAGTTACCACAATATAGAACATATACATCTCAAGTTATACTATGCCGATCCTACAGTAATGTACATGTATAAGTATGTTCCTTGCACTGTGCTATTTGTGAATAATTTATTTATAACATTACATCTACTAAATAGGCATATTTGTTTTTGGTTATCTGTTGTTTAAGATATACCTGCACATATCACTAAAAACTATGATTACAGTTCATTTATTGTCAACATGACCAGTAAGGTAATGTCTGTAAAAATTCATCGGCAAAAAAGTAAAAATTGATATAACTTGATTAATACAGTACTTAAGAGGGTTATACCCGCTTTAAACAGAATGGGAGAGTACATGTGACAGGAAAAATCAATAGCAAGAGGTAACCCGTGTCGCTGAGAAACCGAAAGTAAGGTGTTTTTATGAATCTAAAATACATTTTCCACTTTTTATTTATATTTGTCCGAGAATAATATAAAATATGATTGCATGTAAAATTAAAACATTGGTTCATTTTGGTCCAAAGAACATGCCGAGTCGGTGGGTGTGGCCGCGATTTTGTGTACCTTATTGTGGAGTTGCAGTAATTGAATAATGGACACATTCCTTGGAATGACATAGTTAAAACATTCTAGTGTTCCACGGTATCATTCTTTTCCACTCGGCATACAACCTTTATCAGTAGAATGAACATTTACTAGATTGGTGTATGTCGCTTACTTGTTTTCAACAGATAATGACCTGTGCATTTGCAAAGAGGGTACCGCTTTAGTAAATTTCGCAAACAGGGTACCGATATGGATATTCACCATGTCAATTCGACACTGAAAAAATAGGCATAATGTCACTTTTAGAAGTAACATGTAAAATAATTGCAAAAATACTTGTTATACATGTACATCAGTAGAAAGCACAATTACATAATACTTTTTGCTCATCAGCCCGAAACATATCATCGAGTTAACTGAGTGAAAATAACACAGCTAGAACACGAAAAACATTCATTTTTATTTCGGCTTAGTTTGTTACGTTGTCGTCACATGAGTCGTTACATGCAACAAAGGGAAATAACAAAATGATGACGATAATAATTTAGATTTGTAGTATTTATCAACCTTGGTTTGAACGTTTTATCTTTATTTCTTTACAGTTACTAAATCTGTGACCATAATATTCTACTATCTATGATCTAAATGTATTTATACAAGATATTATAATTCAAGGTTTGATATTACCAAAAACATGGTTGATGAGCAAAAACAAATACATACTTTACTCAAGTTATAGCCATTATGTCCTTCAACGGCTTCCGTAATTTTGGAAAATTGACTTTTGGGTTAGTGACTTCCTTTTTTTCGGAAAACGAAAACAAACAGGTAAATCACTTTCTGTCTTATCGTGCCAAATGATATTTATTTGCGTTTAAAGGAACTTAAATTTACGGCATTATTTACCATGATTTAAAGGGTAAAAAACCAATTGTTTTTATTCTTAGCACTAAGCATATCAATGTATTATCAATCGTGTGATTCGATTTTAGGTCATTTCTAATAAGTTTTGTCTTGAGTTTCTGTATTGATTAAGTATGCGTTATTGACTAGTGTGCCGTGGTATGTAGTTGTTATTAGACTTCATTCAATCAGTTATTTCAATTAACAACACATCAACACATAAATGATTCCATACATGTATTTGTTTACTTTCGGTTTCAACAACCTACGGAAGCCATTACAGAATTCGACGAAGACATTTTTATACATTTTATGAGACAACTAGCTCTATGTCACTTTTATTCCGTCATATATCATTTAAAGCAGAGTATACGTAAATGCCCGAAGTTTGACAATTTTGTTTCAATATCACATGGATAATCTAATGAATCTACTTCATGTACTTGCTGTGTTTCATGCAAGAAGTGAAAAAAATATTCATATATAAAATCATGTATGCGACGTTTGCTGCCTTAAAGAGAGTACATGCATTAATTATAAAAAATGTTGTTCCTTCTTCTTTTCTTTCACAGGCATTGATTGTAATAATTGACAACTCAACAGTCGTTAAAATGGAGGGAAAATTAACAGAGAAATATATGGACCAACTCGAGCAATGGATAGGTACAGGACCCAAGACATTTACACTTCTCTATGCCATAACACGTGATGGATGCGATCCTAAGACTTTCCATCACAAATGTAACAACCAGGGTGCCACCGTCACAGTTCTGTATAACCAACATGGGTCGGTTTATGGTGCTTATACCAGTGTCAGTTGGCAAGTAAATTCAGGGTCGTACATTTACGACAATAAAGCGTTTTTGTACCAGCTTATGTTTAATGAAAGCTGTAAGATGAATAAATTTCCAGTAAACAAGCCAGACAACGCGGTTATTCATAATGATAACTATGGACCAATCTTTGGCACAGGTTATGATCTACACACTTTTAATGGTAATACGACAGTACACAGATCTGGAAACATCTTTCTATTAAATGGAGACATGGCAGGGTTTGGTAATGTGTTCAATAACAAGGGAATGACCGCTGACCAGATAAACAACGGTACAATGGAAGTGACTGAACTTGAAGTTTACATGGTAACAGGTAATTTATCAAATATTATTCTTTGTCAACAACATCATAACCTGATTATATTTTCAAAATTTGATTTTTATATCAATATTTCATATTACAAACTCACTAATATCGAAAAATGGTTTCTCTCCCCCCCCCTTTACTTACCATACACAACTCACTGTAGCATGATTTTCTAACGAAATAATACTTAATTTCAAAGTTCACAGTAAACAAGTGAGACCAATGCTTTCTGAATTATCATTGTTATTTGTTTAATCCAATAATAATTTTGATATATACTATTTATGTATATGTAAAATGGTTATATACTTATAGTACAAGTCTTATTCTGACAGATTATATTTTAGATGGTCAACGTACAAAGAAAATAGAGAAAAAACTTTCACCGTGGCGAAAAATAAAGGACTGGAACGAAAAGGTAAGATAGTTCAAGATTAATTGATGTTGTACTTGAAGGTAGGGTTTATTGTGTCCGTGCGGGACGACTTGGGTCTTATATATAGGCGGAGATTGTGAGAAATATGTATATAATGGCATGAAATCTAAATATGAAAGTGACGGCTCGGGTTATATTTAAAAATAACTGTTTATAGAGGGCCATATAACATGTCAACGATCTTTATAACTAATAATATACACGTGATTTCAAGAAATGTCGAAGTATTTAAAAGCAGCGGGAATAATGCAAAATTGTCCTTATAGATAGCTCATAATTTGTAAGAAATGTAAGGAAAATAATGGGAGCCATTTTTTCTGCTTGTATGAGAGAAACTGCTTTCAATTGGTCTCATGATAAGAGTAAAAGTACATATATCTCATAATAAGGAAAAAGTACATATGTGTCACGATAACAGAAAAAGTACATATGTGTCATGCTGAGATGAAAAGTACATACTTGTATGTCTCATGATCAAACAAAAGGGTACATATGTATGCCTTTTTTTGACCGCCTACGTGGTCGAGGGGTTAGAGTCGATGACTTTTAATCAAGTTACCCCTCTGGCGTGGGTTCAATCCCCGGGAGATGCTTTGGTTGTTAAGCACGGAGGAAGGTAGTCTAGTAGTGGTGTAACTGTCCAGGAACGATGGTTATAAAACTAACCGCCTATATGACTGAAATACTGTTGAGAAAAGGCGTAAAATGAAACAAACAAAACCAAACAAACAAACAAACAAATGCCTTTTTTGTAACTGTAGTTTTATATAAACATTTTAGTGAAAAGAATTTGCTGTTGTAAGGACAAAATTACCAGTCTTATTTATTTTTCACTGTTTCAGTTTTATAATGACCTCAAAGAAGAGATAGTAAACTTTAAACCTATCCAAGGTTCGAATGTAAGCGAGGCTCGAATCTTGATGTTAGGGCCAGTTGGTGCTGGCAAGTCCAGCTTCTTCAACACTATAGATTCAATTTACCGCGGCCGAATCACACAGCGAGCTAGCAGCGGAAGTTCAGAGCACAGTCTCACTACTGCAGTAAGTACCTTTGATTAAATATTGAGATCTGCACATAATACTCCGCACACAGTTTTTATTATTTTTTAACGACTCCCCGTCCCCCGTTCTAAAAAGAAAACAACACATATAAGACACACAACAACCTGTCCATTGAAAAAGCAACAATAACACAAAACAAAGACAGCAGCATAAATAGTGAAGAATTGATGACTTCACAATGACTTACATAATGTAACCTGACTATATTTCTTTCAGTTTGTTCCGTATTCTATCGAAATTAGTTCTGGGGCTACCTTGAACTTTCAGTTGTGTGATACACGAGGTCTAGAAGAAACTATGGGGATTGATGTACTAGAGTGTAATTATCTTCTAGATGGAAACATACCGTATTACTACGAGGTATTATTCAATAAGTTATTGAATATTTATTCATTTGTTGAAACCTCTATATATAAATGAGTATCTGAAAATACTAAACACATAACAGTGCAATATATAAATTTCAATTTATAATAAACTCTATTTAGATAATCCAACACAATTTCAAAAAACAAATTATAAAAAAGCAGAAGGAAGAAAAAGAGAATAAAAAAAGAACCAATTAAAACCAACCAAGAAAAGAACAAACAGTTCATCCGACAGCAAAGATTCTAGCGACACCTTTTTCTTAGTTTTTTCTTATTTTCAAAATATCATTTAATGTCAATTTATCAATGCATATCTAATTTTAGTTTAACCCAACGAGACCAATCACTCCAGAATCTCCTGGGTTCAAATCTGACCCTACTGGGAATGACAAAGTTCATTGTGCAGTGTTTGTAATTGACTCTAACAACATTAGAGGTGTTGTCAACAAAAATTGTTGAGAAAAATGAAAGGACTCCGTGGACATACGAATCAAAAGGTAGATTTCAAAAAGATATGAAAAAATATAACCTTTTACCTTTTTGTAAAAGGTGAAATTTTCATTACGTTTAAAGCTTCTCTGTTGCATATGGCTGTCACAACAATGCTGTTGCATCGTTCTTAGATTCCTGTTATATTTAAAAAAAATGTGTGTTATTCTCGTATTAAGGCAAGTTCATTTGATTAAATGGTCAATGTAACTCGTATGTCTAATGTTTCCCATATGTAAATTTTCAGGAATACCACAACTGATTCTGCCTGACAAAAGGTGGACAAGCTCTGTAATGACGTTCAGAAGGACGTGTCTCAGGTTTTTTTAACAGCTCAAAAGTGGAACAATCACAGTAGATTAAAGCTTCACAACTTCTCGGTCTTCCACGTGTGCTAACGTACTTCCGGTGAAGAATTACGAAAACGAGGCTGAGCTTGACGACAAACGTTTGATATACTTTCTCTTTTGGCTCTACGTAAAATGCTTTCATTGTTCTGAAGATTTCATGCTGAACATGAAACACAGGGAGAAAAATGTTCAAAGTCGAAATGTGGAAAACTGAAACCTTGAAAAGTGAATTTGAATGTTTATATGGGAAACTTTACAAAGCATGAAAGAAAAAAAGCTGTATAATGTACGCATTACATAAAAGTCTTGTTGAATATTATGAGGTTAACGAATCAAAAATGTTTTGAAAATGTAACAATAATGGGCAAATAGTTAATTGTTATTATGTATCCAGTATTAACATGTACATATATGCTTCTTTCAACATATTACGTTGTTGCACGTTTTAAGTATAATCCAATTTTTTTGTAATAAATGTAACCGGTGAATACACACGCATACGCAACGCACGCACGACAGCACTCATATACACATAGCGCAATGTCACAATAATATGCAATGATACATATATTCATTAATGTAAATATACACAAAGGTATGGTAAAAAGTTTAACAACATTATCGAGGGCCCTCTATCGTTTAAATTTAGTTCCAAGATGCTTTATTACAACAAGAATGTACAATACTACATTTGTTTAAACTGAGTAATATACATGTATGTTTATTATTACTGTACTTTATATGCAGAAAAAGCGTTACTATTGATAGAAAATTATAACACGTGAAGTCTTTGATGTTGATGGAAAATAATATATTGTATCGATTTTGGAAAATGATAAAATTTATTTCAAAACTAATAAAATGTTATCAATGAACTTACAGCGTTTGTACCATGTGATGTCCCATTATTTACCATCTTTTTATTAAATCTTTAAATCAAATTGACCTCGTTTTCCATTACCAAGGTCAAAACATTCATTTCAAATTATAAATTCTTTAATAAAATTTGAATTTTATGAAAGTTTTATTACAAAACTGTACTATAAGGTTACTTTTGTGATCGCAGACGCCTTTTAAGATAAAACAACGCGTCTGAAAAACTACCCACATGATCACCACGTGACCAACCAGTGTTACACCTCTACCGAATATTCACTTTTATCTATAGTAGAACCTTAAAAACTCGAGTACAACGGTGGGCAGTGTAATTCCCATTAAGTTTGGTAAGATAACATCATTCAAAAAATTCAAATTTTATTAAACTTTTTATAATTTCATTTCATTCCTGTTATATTACCAAACTTTACTAGCAGGATAGATTACAAAGCAATACTCATCTAAACAGGTGTAGAGGTGGAGTCTTCCATCTCCCTTGCATACAGATGATCATAAAGACAACACAAATTTCATGTAAATAAAAAACCCTAGTTCCGCAAATATAATATAGATAGATAGAAGAAATAAATCTGAATTATATCTTCCATAAGATCCCACTTTATACATGTATACACATACATACACATATAAATAACATGTATCTCCCATTCCCGTCTGTGGGAATGAAGATGTAAAGTCTTCTATTTAGATGAAATCGACTCGCAAAAGGTTAACTCTTCTCTTTCAACATATTACCAATTAAATCTCTCAAATAGAAAAAAAACAAAAGTCCTGTCTGCAGAGTTTATAATAGATTCTACTGGAGCTACTCTCAATAATGCCAAAGAGGGTTCTAAACCTTTAAACTTTTGTTGTTTAATGTTAATCTCAAACATTCTACAATCCTATGAGAAATAGTCTGAGGTATAACTGGTTTACGAGGTTCATTAAGTGAGAGTTTCATTTTCGCCCTTAACCCATTGCTTCATGAGCATTTTGTGAAAAATGGCTGTTTTCATTGAAAAGTCTCCCGTTACAAGTTCAAATTGCTATAATACTATAAAAACTGCTTCAACACTAATCAAACTTGGCACAAATGTTGACTGGACCATTGCCCTTGCAACAACATGCTCAGGCTTAAATTTTCTGTTACCATGGCAACGAGGGGACATCTCAAAATTGCCAAAAATCACTATTTTGCGTTGATTTTTTCCATCAAAATTGATTTCAAAGTGCTGCAACTTCTCAATGGATTGAGATAGAGTCAAATGCTTTTCAGCGTTGGTTACACGTTACCTTATGATCAATCTGGGGTCATTTACAGCCTCTCACAAGTCCAAAATTTTCTTGGCGATGAGGGGGACTCCGCCCCCCTTCAAACCCCCCCAAACAGAAGGGGGCACATCCCCCTTCTGGCAACCCCCTGATGTATCTTTTGGTTGGGGGGCCGCGCCGAAAAAGAGGTCACTTTTTTTAACAACATTTCTCAAACAAAAACAAGTGTTTGGGGCCTAAATAAGGCATTTTTTCATCATTTGAGACAACAAAAAGGGGGGGGGGTGAAAAAGGCGTTAAAAGGCGTGTATATGAAGTAATGGGTTAAGATAATAATATAAAGTTTCAAAGTTTAATTCTTTCAGAACCTTTAGGCTTAAAAGCCCATAAGCCATACATAAACAAAACTTTATGACGAAGAGTTAATACATTTAACAATAATTTCATCATAGCAATATATCTTGCAAACATAATTTACTTTGGAGAAGGTTTTTTTTCAACTTTAGTCACTCTTACCAATTGTGACATACTTCGAACTTAATTTCAGGTTAACTCATTTCAGTTTAAAGTCAACCTTTCAATAAAAACGAAACGTTATCGTGACTGACTAGAGTGAACATAATATTAAGTTAAACTACATGACCAATATACTATTTCTATATGTGATTAGACTATTGTGGTACATATGAAGACACCTTAACACAATACACATTAATATCCATTTTATACACAATACTGCAACAGTTACTGTATAACACGATAAAGTGACAGTGCATACTTTAAATTAAAACTTAACATGATTTACCAATCTAGATAAATATCTATAAAACATATATTTTATTTAACAATTGACATATAATATTTCGTTGCGTTTTTTATAAGCAATGTGTATGAATGTTCCAAGCATTCTTACTGGTTTTCGTTATTCATCAAGTCTATAAATTTGTACATATTTGGCCTTCGCCAAAATTTTGATAATACAGTCGACATTGTATTAAGAGACCACTCAAGGGACTGCCAAAAAGTGGTCTCTTAATAAAGTGGTCTCTCAATAGAAATCTGGAAAATTCGAGACTTTTTTATATTACAAGTCATAGATATAATAACATCTTTTTTATAAAAACAAAAACTGTACAATATTATGTATGCATTACAGTTTCATAATTACATTTTTTAAGAAAAGTCATCAATATGTGTTTGTTTTTTAGTAGAAATTTGTGTACAGATGTGATCTACGCTCATAATACTATGAACAGGTCATTTTGACCATAAAATAAAGCATATTGTCTTATATTGTTAATATGTTCATACACATCTCCTGCTGAACATACTTTCGAATCATCAACCAGAGCTCCAGATAATTTTTCAGGCAATGAGTTTTAAACTTCTTATTTTTTTCAGCAATTGGTTTTTACACTACCATGATTTCAAATTCAATAAGGTTTTAGAGATCTAGGATTTTTTAATTTTTTTGTCGAAGGGTCATATTTAATGGGGTACGACATATATTTTATAAAGCATCAGATGAGCACCTACACCATCAGCAATGAAAGGCTCGGTTCTGTGATGTTTAGTCCACTACGTTTCACGATTTTATTTCGAATACAAACGATGACATTTCTTATTTACTCAGACTCAATTCCATGCACGATTTCCTCATTCAATTTATCCGGTCTTATAAGTTGTCTGTCATTTTTTCGCTCGATCCGACGTCATTTTCGATTTTGATTTTCTAGAGGGAGGTCACTCTGAGCACATGACAAAACTGTGCAAATGCGGTGTTGTGATACGTTATTGCTCTGACAAAATATGTCACAATAAATATTACGATCGGTAAACTGTTTCTTTCTTTCCGATTTTGAAACTATTGCAATTGTTATTCAATTCGTTTTTTTAACGACAATTATTTGTGACGGTCGTTTAATAGATACTTTAATACCAATTACCATGAAAAATATTTGTTTGTTTGCTTGTACACATCAAACCTACTCTCTGATTACACATTTGAGAATGCCCATAGGGCCGATTGTTTGTCACGGCCGTTTAATAGATACTTTAACACTTAATTTTGTACATTTGGGCCGACATTTAGTGGCCGCTGGCCGCGATATAAAATCGTCGTTTAATGGAATTAACTTATATAGTAAAAATCATCGGGAGGGATTTTATGCGGCCGTTTAATAAAAAAGTCGCTTAATAAAGGTGGACGCAAGTACGATGCCGACTGTATATAATTATGCCTAAGTGCATCGTATAACTTGCATTCTATAATAAAATGATATTCGTCTTCTAAAACGTTACAAAAGTTACATATTCTTTCATTTACAGGTATAGTCGCCGGTCTTGTTCTGTTTGCAGTCTATGTGACGAAACTTATACTCTAGCAAACGACTGACAAACTTAACTATTTGTAAAGAGTTCTAAGTATAGTTGAAATCTACATGTATATATAAATTCGGAATAGTTTGA